TGATAGAATTTTTTATGGAGGGAATTACTGAAATCCAAGCAAAGATTTTAACATATTTTTACATAATATGAAATAATCGGCTCAGATAGGTTAATTTTCCCTACAATAATTTTCAGTATGAGCACAATATAGGTTCAAGCAAAATACGTTAACCATTATATTGTGGATTTAAAACGAAAAAACTACTTAATTTTAGATAAATTCTTCCCAAATTCTATAAGTTTAGGCACATCAGGTATATAGTTAATGTGGTTTTTTTCAATATTATTAAGTTAAAAATTATATTCATACATATAGATAGTTTTAAAACTAAGAAAACTTTGAAATGAAAAATTCACATCCTTAGGATATACTGAAATATTCTCGTTTTAAAATAATAAAGTTCGTTCAAGAATTTGTGACATATTTGCATATTTTCCTGGAATTTTCATTCAATTTAAATAATAATTTTTCGTGCATATAAGCAAAATGGATTGTTTATAAAAAATACTTTACAATATTTCGCACTTAATTATTTTTATAAACGTAATAAAATTTAAAATTTTAAGTAATTAAAATATTTAAAAAAAAAAATGTGTGCACTTTGCGTTATTATAAAGTATTTTCTTGTGATCTTCTATTAAGTTTTACATTATTAAATGGGAACTTAATTTGAGAAGTAAAAACTGTTGTTATAAACACTGGTAAGAGTGTGATCGATCGGATTTTGAATAAAAATTTGACTCAAAGTATTTTCCAATATGGAATTGTTATTTTGATGAATCACTATCGGAGACTTTACCTACATATTAGCAAGAATTATTCATTGTAAAAGAGACATAAGAATATCAAATTTTGTGTTTACATCATAAACAATTGAAGACATGTTTTGAGGAATTTTTGGCGAAATAAGGAATTTTTTTGAATTTCTATATTGCAAACCATTTCAAAATCTTTAATTAATTCTTTTAAGATATAAAAAAAATGGTTATAGATGCTACGATTTAAGAACATCACTTAATACTCAATACTCAAGCTATGTCATCGAATAATACTAAAATTTACTTTTTAGTCTTAAATTATGATAATATATCAATAAATTAATTATTATTATTTACTAGATTAGATGATAAAATTCTATTCTAAATTTTGAATCACCGCTTATGTGAATAAATAAATTCAAAAATTCTAATTTCTTTTTTTTTTTCATTAAATTTTAATATTAGGACGAGTATTTTATATACGCTCTCATATAATTTCAAAATGTTTTAATTTTACGTTCATATCCTTTTCTGTATTTAAGCACAGATAAATGTGGATACAATTAAGAATGTTATGTATATAGATATGTATAGTGAATTATTGTTGAACTCTTCACATGAGAACGTTTTCAAAAAGCTTAAATGATCAGTAGTATAAAAAATCATGTTTAATAATAAACAATTTTAGTATAATATGACACGAGGGCGCCATTAGTCTAGACCTAAGGTCGCTGATATTTACTCTCTATGTTATTATGCATATATGTATACATATATGTGTATATATGATTGTATAAAAGGGAAACTTTAATGTGATTTTTTTTTCTTTCATTCCTTTTTTATGTTTTTAAGTTTTCATTCTTGTAAAAAAAATAATAAAATTGATGTACATTGTAAAATTTATTTTTCATTTAGAATTGTAATTTTATTGAATGCATGAATAATCTACATGCTTAAATTTTAAACGAGTTTCAACACACTTCTATTATTACTGGTAGTGGTTAGTCATAAATGCAAAATTTACTTGCTTTTTATAAGAATTTTGAAATTTGAGAGAAAAAAATAATTTTTCAATTATATGGAAACAATTATTGAAAATCTAAAAAATATTTAGAAAATTAGGCAAATGTCAGAAACAACAGCAAAATAAATTCCCGATTGCTTAATTATTATAAATATCAACAAAGAAAATTTGCGGACTTCCGCAATTCAGATAATTTATCTTAAAATATTAAAAACTCACTATAAAAGGACTTATTATTAAAGGATGTTTGATGGCTTCTTCACAACATCTTTTATTCAATTTAGGTCAAATGGATATTGGATACTCAGAAGTTAATGCAGAATTGACTGAGTACATTTTAAAACAGAGGTTTTCGTAAAACTAAGTGTTTTATCTATAATTAGAAAAAATCAAACAAGAATGAAATTCTTGAATACATGTGTATGTATGTAGGTATGGTTTTATTGTGAATATTTGTCAACACATTATTGTCAAGCCCTTTATTGTTTTGGTGATTGCAGTTCTTTTACAAAATATTTGATACTGCTCTAAAAAGAGTTCTTTTTTGTACAGAGTTATAATTATGTTTCAAGGACCCTTAAAGAAAAAAAATTTCGACGTTTTGGAAAATTTTGTAACTTTTGAACTTTTTAATACCAGGTCACTGCTATAAAAAACAAATTAAGTAAACAAGTGTTTCTAATGTTCCAGAACTTTTTATTTTCAAGTATTTATACGGTTTTCTTATCATGATCCTATAAAATTTCTTCAATAACGTTCTTGATTTTCTTTTTCGAATTATATTTTATATCTTTTTTTTTTTAATTATTTTATGTGTATGTTGTGTTATAAAAAAGAAAATAGAGAGAAGAGAAGCGAAAAAATTTTCGGCCGAATCGTCAATTTCTTTTATTTAAAATTTCATACACAAAAAAAAAAAGATTTTTTTTTGGCTCGAAATTGTGAATTTTATTTTATTCGAAAAGAGGTCAGTAATTGCAAACAATATTCGACAAAAAAAAGAGTAATAAATTTGTTCAACATAAAGCAATAACGAAAAATATTTTATTTCTATATACATTTATTCGCTCATTCGTGTTATATGTATAACAAACATGTAGGTATAAGACTATACATGTACCCTAAAAATTCGATACATCATATTATGTATACTTACATACATATATTGAAAGAAAAATCCAACTCATTAAAATTATTCCACATAATATGAAAACGATAAAATGACTTATAATTCTTTTATACACAATTAAATAACGGGGTCATTTTGTTGACTAAAAATCAAAATGGGATTTTCTTTTCGGGATAAAAAAAAAAAACAAGAAAAATATGCCAAAAGCCAGAAAACAAAACAAGTGTGGGGAACATTTTTGAAAACAACGAAAGAAAAACAAAAAGAAAAACCAGAGAAACGGCACAACAACGACGAAACATCCTGTGTAAATGAAAATTGAATTTAATTAAAAGATTTTAAAATGAATTAAGGATAGAAATGGACAGAAGAGACGCGAGCAAATACAATTTGTAAACAAACAACCTTAAAAAATGAAAAGAAAAAAAATTGTAATTCTTTTGTTTTTTATTTTGTTTTAATAAAACAAAAGGAAATAATTTATTCAAGAAAAGAAAAAAAAAACATCCTGACCAAGGATACGTTTTTTGTCAGTTGTAGGCCCATTCAGCTGTTCAAAAAATATTTTTGACCTTAATTACTTTTTATTGAAATTCTCATGGAAATTTGGAATTGCTTTACTCTTAAAGAAATATATTAATATAATTTTGTTGTAAATTCAATCTTGAATCTTAAATTTACGCATTACCTTGAGTTCTACCACACGTCGCTAAAATTTGCAGTTTTTTTTGTCTATCGGATATAGATATCTGAACATAAAAAAATATTAATTATTATTAATTAGTGAACAGAGTTCTTTGAAATACTTGTCAAGCGATATCTTATAATCCAGTCCAGAAATAGTTCAGAAATATTTTTATATACTTGCGAGAACGAGTCCGAAAATATTTTTATTCTTTGAAGAAAAATATAAGATTATGGGGGCTATATAGAATAACATTGCTATGTGAATACCAAATTTATATTTTCTTATACTAAATGAAATGTTCGTTAAAAGAAACTATGAGCATGTTTGACTTCGAATTACTAGTCAATTAGTTTTTAACTTTCTCCACAATAAAATTTGTGCTGTTTAAATTTATGTGTTGGTTTTAAAAAATTTTCTGTTATCATAACAAACACACAAAAATTATCTCATATTATTGATATTTTTAGCACTTTTCTAAAAAAATTATGAAGGAAAGTGCTTTGAAGTATCCGTCCGTCCATTTACAAACTTTTATAACCTTTAAGATAGGAACAAAATTATCGCCTTTCAAAATTTATAAAATTTGAATATATAGCTCCTTATATTTCCGAAACCGTAAACTTTTATAAATTTCTATAAAAGCGGAAAAGTAGTGGTAAATGCCATGCCAGTAAGTAATATAATTATTTTTCTTAACTCACGCAATTGACTTCTCAATTCGAGCATTATGCTAACGTCTCTTTCAAGATTTTTTTTGTCTTACCCCAAAAGTATGCAATTTTTGTAAATAATGTAAAAAACTGTTTTAAAAATAGTAATCTTCACTTGTTGAAGGGAAGAGTGCTACTTTACAAATCATTGGTGAGATCCAAATTTATTTAATTTTAAGACGAAAACTGTAGCTTAATTGTATTAAATTGCGTTAACTTACTTTTAAAGGTTAACTTCAAGGTTTAAAAGTTGTTTGCTTTATTATAAATATAAATATTTTTTATAAATGCATACTGAAAAAATTGTATAGCCAAAAATTTACGACTTGATTAAATAAAATCTTTATTATAGAAAATTTTGAAAAGAAAACAATTATTAAAAATGAATTATTGAAAACTTGTTGATTATGAAATTTTCTTGTTCAAATTCAAATAAACAAAATTTGGATAATAGGAGACAATATGTAGATTGTATGAGACTTTGTCGTTCACAACTACGGAACTACGTTCCCAACGTATCACGTTTACGGGTAGTTTTTCAGAATGCAAAAGATAAAATCAAAATTTCTAAGTAACTACTTAGTTCTAAAAGAACAATAAAGCTTGTTTAAATTCTTTAGTTGAAAATCTCAATTTATAGTTCCCAGTTTCCCAGAAACATTATAAACTACTTTATGATTTATTTATTATTTTATAATTTTCTTTACAGATTTAAACATAATACTCGAGGATTCTCTACTATTTTAAAAGGATCTTCAAATTCATTCCCGTTTGTTAATCTATTCTATTTCTATTAAATAAATTTAGAAGACAAAAAGAAAAGCAAAAGACTACAAAATGGCTGCATTTGTTGCTAAGCAGATGATCGGTAATAAAATGAGCGCTGTTAAAGGTAAGTTAAAAAATTTACAAAACAATATTTTTCATATATCAAACGCTTTATCCAAATATCTTCGAATATTATATACTCGACTCGTAAATATGTATAAGATGAAAATGTTAAAAAAAATTGAATGACGCTATAATATTGTTATAATAAAATTTTTTCACCAATATCTACATCGATACCAACATTTCTAATCCTAAAATTAAATAAAGCTATAAAATCAGAATGATTTCAGTAATTTACGACGTTAACTATATTTTAAAAAGTAGCAAAGTACCTATAAATATATATGTTCTTGTTATTGTGTGTTTCAATAGTAGATTGTATGTAGCAATCAATGTAAACAAAACAAATACTTAGTAATCATGTGAATTACAGTATAAAGCAATGTAGAGAACATTTCGTCGGCAATTTCTTCATGCTTCTGTAGCTCAGTTGGTAGAGCGTCCGCCTAGAAAGCGGTAGGTCACTGGTTCGAGTCCAGTTCGAGGAGAAAAATTTTTTAATTAATTTTTCTGCCTTCAACTCGTTCCTTTGATTACATCATCCATCTGTTCTGCAGTTGCATGAAGAAATTTCCATTAAGTTAAAGCAAAGCTATATTTAAATTCGATAAATTCTTTTTAAAATTTTGCGATTCTCAAAGCAATAATTTTCAACAAAGAGTAATAAGTATTCATTCTTTCTTTTCAAATCAAAATAAGGATTTGCATTTGAAAAGAAAGAATGAAATTTTTAAAACATACCAAAATATTTTTTATTTGTCAATTCTTTAATATAATTATAAAATTTAATCCCACCCTCATATGCATTCAAGGTAGCTTTATTAATAAATTAAAATTTAAAATTTTAAGGTAAACATTATGAAAAATTTCCATTAATTTTTAATGTAAGCTTAAATTTTTGCTGAATATTTTATTAGAGAAGAATTGAAAAAGTAACGTTGCAGAAGAAGATGATAAAATAATTTTGTTTTTATTTGAGAAGCAACATAAAAAAATTTTCTAATTTTCTAAAGTGCTTCGAGTCAATGCACTGAAAATTTAATTTTAGATTACAAATAAAGAATGAAGATGATATCGCTGTTTTTCTTGCTTTAAATTTTTTGTTACATTCTCGTCTCAATCTTAGAACAGTAATGTGATCTGTTTTAACTCAAAATGTATTATTATATCTGGCTAGGGTTTTTTTTGTTTTTTTTTTGGTGTAGTGAAAAAATGCATTTTCCATTTTTTCCATTCGCTTTATTCATTGTGAAAATGGGATTGCTAAAGTGTAAGAATTTGTTATACCATCAAATTCAAATAGAATATTAAAATAATATGACTCAATTTGTTCTACCACTTAAAGCTGAGTCTCAATTTGAATTAATTGCATTGGCTTTAACATAAAATTCATTATTGCATGAAATAAAGAATGCTTTGTAAAAAAACAATTAAGTGAAATAATTTTAATACTCAAAAATTTTATTACCAATATTTTTTACTTATTTTAACAGAGTTTTTAGTATATTAACCTGTCGATTTCATAAACTACTAGAATTTATTACGTAAATTTTATATAGTTGGTTCATTTGCATACAATTTTATATTTTATAAAAACTACATTTAAAGTGAAATGCTTTTTTAGTTCCAAGCAACATTTTTGCTACACCTATAAAAAGTACAATAAATATTATGTTCAAGTTTTAACTAATGAAAATGTTGAGTACAGTTGTACCAAGCGGTTTTATCGTTTTACAGTCTTTTTCCATTCTGTTCGTATAATTTTGAGTATTTATATTCATTCTTAATTTGATGAATTAAAATTATTTAAAATTTTGTATTTATACAATTTCATATTGTAAAAAGAGCCGCGTTATAGATTATGTACAATATGACTATACAAACATACATACTAAAATTTGGAAAGCAATAGATTTTTATAGTTAAAGGTCTTGAGGAAAAACTATATCAAAAAATTTAGTAAAAAATGGTAGATTTTCCTGGCCATTTTGCTTTTGTAAAGTTTAAATTTGGGTATGCAATGGTGGAAAAATTAGAAAATGGTATGCTTGGCACTTCCTGTTTTGTTTCTGCAAAATATTAAAAATGCTTATAGTTTCGCTTCAGTAAATAAATAGTTATAAAACAAGTAAAAACGTTTCAGTCGGTATGAACCGATTGAATTATACCTGCACCTTTGATTGTTGTATAGCAATTACTCAAACCTGTGAAACCATTCTATAGAAACTTCACGGATATGTCTGATCTATAACTGAACACAGAACTACCAAGTTTCGTGAATCTGACTTTATTATTTTTCCAAATATTTAAAATTAGCTTTTGGAGTTGTATGGCAGGTACCCGAACCTGCCAAGCAATTCCATCAAAACTTCACTAATATATCTGATCTATAATTGGACACACAATTGCCAAGTTTCATGAATCTAACTTTATTACTTTTCCAAATATTTAAAATAAGCTTTTGTACTTCTATAGGAGCCACTCGAACCTGTCAAGCAATTCCACCAAAACTTCAAAAAAATATCTTTGACCTATAATTGGACACACAACTGCCAAGTTTCATGAATCTGTCTTTATTATTTTTCCAAATATTTAAAATTAGCTTTTGAAGTTGTATGGCAGGTACCCGAACCTGCCAAGCAATTCCACTAAAACTTCGCAAATATATCTGATCTATAATTGGACACACAACTGCCAAGTTTCATGAATTTGACTTTACTATTTTTCCAAATATTTAAAATTAGCTTTTGGAGTTGTATGGCAGGTACCCGAACCTGTCAAGCAATTCCACTAAAACTTCGCAGGTATATCTGATCTATAATTGGACACACAACTGCCAAGTTTCATTAATCTGACTTTATTATTTTTCCAAATATTTAAAATAAGCTTTTGGACTTGTATGGGAGCCACTCGAACCTGTCAAGGAATTCCACTAAAACTTCAGAAATATGTTTGACCTATAATTGGACACACGACTGCCAAGTTTCATGAATCTGACTTTATTATTTTGCCGAATATAAAAAATTTGCTTTTGGAGTTGTATGGCAGCCACCCGAACCGGTGCAGCTATCTCATTAAAATTTTTAGAGCATGTGTAGAATATAATTGGACACATGTATACAAAATTTTATATTTATACCTTTATTAGTTTTTGAAATATTTAAAATAAACTCTTTGAGTTGTATGGCAGCTACCCGAACCCGTTGTCCGAATTAGTCCAATAACAATAGGGCTCGTCCTTGGCACAAAAGAAAAAACTTGTGAAAGTTTGGTGTCGATTGCATTATTCGTTTTTGAGTTATCGTGCGATCGGACGGACGGACGGACGGACGGACGGACGGACGGACGGACGGACGGACGGACGGACGGACGGACAGACGGACATGTCTAAATCGACTCAGAATTTTACGCTGAGCAAGAATATATATATATGTCCATACCGCAGATGACTCCTTCAAGTAGTTACAAACTCCATACCAAAGTTAATATACCCTTCACGAAGTGCAGGGTATAAAAAGTGAAATTTTTAAGATGTTGGGGGGCTATAACTTCTCTTCTACGAAAATAACTTTATCTATATATGCATATAAAATTTCAGCTTTCTATCTTCAAGGATGTATAAATTTTGTAAACATGTCTACGGACGGACGGACAGAGTGAGCACTTTTTTTCAAATTTTTTTTTGGAAAAGTGCTAAAAACTGGTTGCAGAACAAAACGCAAATTAAAATTAATAATTTGAATTATTTTTGAATTGTTATTGTTTTGTGATATATGTAAAACACAAACATACATACAATAAAAGTAAAAGCGAAATTAATTTCGTATAAAAAATTGCTATATTTTAAAAAGTTTTTTAAATTTATACTTACATTTTTAAAAATAATTACAAACTTTTTAATTTATTTAATGAAATTAAAATATTTACAGATAAGACCTTGAATTTTAAGTATTTTAACTTACCAGAAAACCTGCTATATTCCAAGATTTTTTCAGGTATCAATTTATCATAATCGTTAAATGAAAATTTTTGGGCAATGGTTCTCTTCTTTAATCAATGTAAAAGTAAAAGAAAGATGCAAATAAATTCACATTAAACTCTAAGCAAATTGCGAAAACTTTTGTAGTTACAGAAATTGAAATATTAAGATTTTAATTCAAATAATTGATTTATTAAGAGTATTTAAACTTTTTTAAGAGTAGACACAGAATATTGCTTTGGGATATTTCACGCCTTATTGCAATTGTTTTCCTAAGAAATTTTGTCTAAAAAAATGTGTTCCGAAAGTATTAAAAAAAATTTAAAATTTATCTAATCTCTAAAATTTAAAATTTATATTTTACGTTTACATTTTTAATAACAAAATAATTCTTCGAATTTTGCATATAAATTAAAGTTTGTAAATTTTATTAAAGTTTTTTGAAAAATTGTTTATCATTGTTATACTTGGAACTCTCTGAAACAAATGAGTTACAATTTTTAAATTAGTAATGTAGAAAATTTTTTTCTGAGTAAAAATTTCATATACAACGAATTTTACACGTTATAATAGAAAATTTTTGTATTTTTCAATCTAAACTTATTTAGTACTTTTCCAAAAAAAATATGAAAAAAATGCTTATTAGTTTCACTCTGCCAGTCCGTGTGTCTGTTTACAAAAGTTCTAGACCCATAAAGATAGAAAGCTGAAATTTTGTATGTACTTAGATCTTTGCAAGAAACTTATTTCCGTAGAACAAAATTTTTACCTATCTCCCCCCCTCTAAAAGTTATACCCTTCCAAGACCCTGAAAATGTCGTATTTTAACTATATTTATTGTACTGAAACCATAAGCATTTTTCAAATTTTCCAAACGTAGCAAAGCAATGGCTTGTTTCTTTTACCTTGGCCTACCTCATTTGAACTTTAAAAACTAAACTGTCTTTAAAATTTACTGTTATTTGAATTTCGTTTTTCCAAATTTTTGATTTCGTTTTTCTTCCATACTCCAGGTTCTAAGA